GGGCGCTCATGGCTGGTTCGCTGAACCCCATTAACCGAACCCCGCAAACTTTGAAAAGGACCCGCCGCTCCAGGGAGAGGGTCGGGGGCGGTGTGTGTTCGCAGGAGGGGGAGCTAAGCTAGCCTGCGCCCAGCCTGCCCTTTAGAGCTAAGGAGCTCTCCTTAGAGATGGGCAAACCATCCACATCTGAACCGAGGTGCAAGGAAAGTGCCTCGAAGGGCAGAAATTAATTGGTAATGACAAAGACACCGGTAGGACTTTGGGGTTAGTCACAGCCAAGGACCTTGGAGATGGACATAAATGGGCTAGAGAGTGGAAACACTCCCAGGATGAAATCACAACCTCCCTTAACACCCCAAGAGCTGACAAATCTAATCCCCAAAAGTTGATTAAAGGTCGGTCTCAACCATCTGTCTTCATTCCATCAGCAATCATTGGTAACTTTTTTTTTTTTAATATGTCTTTATTGATTTCAGAGAGAGGAAGGGAGAGGGAGAGAGAGATGGAAACAGCAATGATGAGAGTCATTGATCGGCTGCCTCCCGGACGCCTCCCACTGGGGATCCAGGGAAACCTGGGCATGTGCCCTGACCGGGAATGGAACTGCAAAGTGCTGGATCAGAGGTAGATGCTCAGCCACTGAGCCAGGCATTTAGTGGACAAGCATACTGAGGGACTCAGGGAGAGGCGCAATGTTGAGAATAGCTGTATGGGGCAGGCAGGGAGCAGGGAGACCAATTAGGAGACTATTGAAGTAATACTTTGGAGAGATGATTTTGGTTTGGTCCAGGGTGGTAACAGTGGAGGTGCTAAGATGTTGAATTTTGGGTACAATCTGAAGGTAGGACTGACGGGAGTTGTGACAGATGGGACATAGGGTATGAGGGAAAGAGAGGGATCAAGGATGACTCCACCAATTTTGGCCTAACCAACTGAAAGGATGGAGTTGCTGTTTACTGAGCTGGAGAAAAGTGCAAGAAGACTAGGTTGTGGGGAAGGGTAGGAACCAGGAGTTTAGGACATGTTGAGATACCTATTAGAGATCCTAATAAAGATATAACCCACAGGTCAAGAGAAAAGTAAAAATCTTGTTTCATCAACATATAAGCTGCTATGTAAAACCGTGAACCCGGATGAGACCACCTGATGAGAAATCATGGGTGAAGAAGAATCGCTAAGGGCTAAGCCCAACATTTCAGTGAGTTGGGGAGACCAAGAATAAGCAGCCAGGGAGGTGGGAAGAGAACTGAGAGAGAGCTGTGTCCTGGAAGTCAAACGAGGGAAATATTTCCAGAAGGAAGGAAGATGGCCGGCCAAGTCATATCAGATAAAGATCGAGACTTAACTGCCAGACTTGGCAAATTCAGTGTCATTGGTGACCTTGACCAGAGAAGATTCAGTTGTAGTGGGGCAAGCAGAACCCCAACTCAAATGGTTCCAGAGAGAGTGGGAATAAGTGTTGCAACTCATTTAAAATGGATGGGGCTACTAGAAGAGAGATGGGTGTGTTTTTTTAAGACAGAAAATAGTATTGTATATTTATTTACTGATAGAGTGACTCAGTGGAGAGGGAAGAATTGACGATTACGAGACAGAAGAGAAAAATGCTGGAGTGGTGGCTTTGAGTAGATAATGCAATCTCGTGTACAAGACCAAAGAGTGGCCTTAGGGACGTGGAGAACTCAGTCCTAATACAGAGGGAAGAGTATGTGGTGACTAACGGCAGATATGGTCTTGGGAGACTGTAGATTTCTCTTCTGTTTGCTTCTATTTTCTCACTGAAATAGGAAGACAAGTCTAGACTAGGTTATGTTATAGTAACAAGCAACCTCTGTATCTCGGTGGTTTAACACATCGAAGGTTAAATGTCCGCTGTTGGTCAGCTGGGGATGCTTCCCTAACCTCATCCAGGGGACAAGGGGACTCTTTGTGCTCCTCTATTGCTAAGACTGAAAAAAAGAAAAGTGGCACCTTGCCCCCTAAAACCTATCCCTGGAAGTGATAGATGACCTTTCTCTATATCACTGGCCAAAATAAGTAGTATCTCCACATCTAACTTCAAAAGGGGGCTGTGGAGTACCATCTTCCCATGCTTCTAGGAGGGGAGACCAGAATATTTGTGATTGGAACAGGAGGCATTGGAGGGTTGAGGAGAGAGAAGAAAGCATAAAATAATTGTTTTGGAGACTGGGACAACAACAGGATTAAATATGACTAAGCACCAAATGAATGCCAAGGACAGTGGGGCATGTATTAAAAACTGTTAGGACGATAGACAGAAGCTATTTTTATGGTGGTAGGTGGTGCTAAATAAAGAATCAGAGACAAGTAGTCAGGTCCCCTGGAGGAAAACAAACAAAAGAATCAGTAGAATAAGAAATATGAGGATATTTGACTTGCAGAAGACTATAATGAGCAATATTCTAGAGATGGATGCCAGGAAGCATCGGGGCTGCAAGCCAGATGGTTAATGCGCACTGCAACCTGTTGGGTGTCCTTCTAAGTAACCTCGTCACCTTTTTTGCCCACGGTGCCTTGATTTCCTTTGCACTCTTTCTCAATCGTACAGGCTTGATTTAGTCTTCATGGGTATCTCTACTTGTTATTTGCAACTTTCTTTACAAAATACATGTGAGTTATCTTAACTTTGTGTAATGAACTATAAAAAAAATCTCCAGTTGTCTAAATTATCAGGAGTTGGAAAACATTATGTTGCTGAGAAATTATGAATTGGGTATATGTAGCTTTTGAGAGGCCCTATTTTAAAGATGATAATGGGTTGTTGTTTTTTGCAGGGATATTATTAGCCAAAGGTACATGGTTATAATGACAGTTTTTAAAATTCTGCCAACTTGTAGCTTTTCTAAACTGTAAATGTTCATCAGAGCTTGTAACAGGGCTTATTTCTACCTTGTCATCAAAAATACCCAGAAGAAGGTGGCTATAGTACATAAAATAATGGCCTCCCATGTGCTAAACTGCAGAGCCTAGGAATATGTTACATTACATGGCAAAGGGGAATGGTAGCAGAAGGAATTAAATTTGCTAATCAGTTGAATTTAAGATAGGGTAATCCAAGATAATCCTATCTTAAATTCAACTGATTAGCAAATGTAATCACAAAGGTCTTTGAAGGTAGAAGAGGGAGACAGAAGAATAAGTGTCAGAGTGATACCACGTGAGAAAGATTCAACTGGCCATTGCTGGCTTTGAAGGTGGAAGGGCGTCATGAGCCTAGGCATGTAGACAGTCTCTGAAAGGTAGGCAAGGCAAGAAAATTAGATTTCCCCCTCAGTCCTCCAGAAAGAAATGCAGCCTGGCAACACTGTGAGTTCAGCCCAAGACCCATGTTGGACATCTGACCTCCAGACCTGTAAGATGAAGAATATGTGCTGTTTTAAGCTACTAAGTTAGTGGTAAGTTACAGCGGCCATGGGAAACTAATACAGTGACTAACCATATTGAATGACCTTGATCCATTTTTACCAATTACCCTTCTTCACCTTTTTTTGCACTCTACCAAAGCAATGACCTATTTCAAGGACCTGTTGGCCTACCACTAGCATCAGGAGAAATAGTAATCAATTTCTTTCCACAGAAGGGAGTGCCAGTTTAAAGCAATGGGCAAGTAAAACAATTGCGCACCACTTACTTGAGTCCGTTGGAGGAAAAGATGAAATAAGGAGACTCTCATAGCAATTCTTTACTTGGGCTCACTATACACTTCAGTGGTGTCTGTGAATATTCTAAAACTGTCTACAAATTGTGTTAGTTCTGAGGATTTTTCTGTTTATTAGATCCTTAAAGAGGTCTCTGACCAGAAAAAG